TCTGAGTTCACCTACAGTCTCATAGGCCATTCTCTTTTCTAATATCATGCAACTCTTATCTTTCCTTTAGAACCAAACTTATATGACCTCTTCTTTGAGAAGCCTTCTTGGCGAAGTGTAATGACTGAGAATTTAGAGTTTGGAGTAAGACAACCTGTATTTGAAACCTGAGTCTGTCATTTACCATCTTTGTGCTCTAAGATACCAGTCATTTTGCCTCTTCAAGCCTCACTGTCATCACCTGTAAAATAGGGGTAATGAATACTGACCAGCATGCTTGTGAATATTAAAATGGATAATAAATGTGAAGAATTTAGTATAGAATGTGACCCTTAATAGTTATTGCTAATCATAAATTTAACTTGTCTAGAAATTCTCATGCCTAAGTCATATGTATACATAAGGTGATTTAATTTGGTCGCTATTTACCTTGACTTTATCTGCTTTTCTGATAAGCTGTGGGAGGCAGTGCTGCTGCTTTGCACAACTCCAATTTGAACAATGCCCCCTGGAGTTGTGCAATATGGCAACTCTGGGAAAGAGGAGGCTTTTCAGTTTGTTTCTATTTATAGTTTGAATACTTTAACTTTATAAATAAATTAATGTCTTAAAGTGTCTGTGGGGTCTCTGGGCCAGAAGATTTTGAGGCTTTTTTGTTGGTTGGTTTATATTTTGTATCACTATTTAAAAAGAAAAAAACTTAAACCAATAATAAGATGCTTTGAAGAAACTCAGTCTTTTAGATGTCATTCCAATCAGTATTAGTTAAGATTTTAGTAGAAGTTCAATTAAAAAGCATTTGTTGACAGAAAGAAGAATGAGCACAAGCCTTCAGGTCAAGTAGAGCTGGATTTGGATTCACTATTTACAAATTACATAATCTTGTTAAACCTTTGTTTCCTTGATTTGGTAAGGGAGCTAATCATTCCAGACACACTCAGGTACTTTCTGGTACTTAAGTGAGCTACTGTGTACATAAAGTACCCAGCACAAAATCTGGCATTTGGTGGGTTCTCAATAGCGGTACCTATGATCACTTTTATTATGTGCATGTTGCTGCTCTGATTGCTGGCTTAAAACTGGTTAGAATCAAGATGCTGGTTAAAACTGGCGATTAAATTCAGGTTGGTATTAGGATTAATAGTCAGAGCCTATAATAGATTAGGGTTAGGACTGAAATTACAATTCAATTAAGGTTACAATTGTAATGCATACAGGGGTTATTATTAAGGTTGGTGTTAATTAAAACTGGATAATAGAAGTAAGAAGCAGTATGGAGTACTGGTTTAGCTGGGTGGAAAATTGAAGAGGAAAGCAATGTGGAAACCTATGTAGAATTTAGTGATACAGAAAACTCATACAGAGGAGAAAAAAGGGTTAGAGTACAAAGCAGAATCTGAATGGATATTAAGCCTTCTTAATTTTTTCCCTACAGGTGCTGTCATCTTCTCCCTGATGAATATGTAAAATTCACCCACTCAGGCTGAGTTCTTTCCCTTTTCCCTCCCGGGCAGGAGCAGCGTGGGGAAAGGAATGCCCAGGGCCCACACAGCTGCGTCTAGCCCAGCACCAGTGCCAGCATCACATTCCACACCCTCAGCTACCCAGGCTGTTGCTGAGTGGACAGGGGCATCTAGGAGGCAAAGCCCGCCTTCTCTCCACTCCCCTTCCCTGCTTCCTCAGATTTTCAGTGTAGCTACCAGCTCTGTAATCCCACAGACAACCTACTCCAGACTTTGTGCACGTCTCTGGGAAATGCATATGGTATGTCACAGCGTTGAGAGTGGAAAGTAACCATAGAGATCACAATCCAACATGGATACTTTTATTTTACCTATTTTCATGATGGGGTTAATCCTTGTAGGTCAATCTTTCTTTGTAAAACTATATTCCTAGTGAGGAGGGTGGGCGCCTGTAGGATGCTGGGTGCACATGTAAAAAGGGCATTGGAACGACTATAGGCAAGAAGTTATTCCAAATGCGAACATCCACATCAGTAGGAGAAACTACTTTTCACTCCGAAATATGCAAGAGTGAGGAATTCCTCAAATTGGACACTACTCTAGAGTTTTGGGAATGATTCTTCTTATCCTTCCTGCTTCCAAGGGTACTATCTCCCATTCCCCACCCAGTGCTGGTAACCCTTCTGCCAGCTAGCTGTATGAACACAGAAAGTCATTTAGCTTCTCTGAGTTCCATTTTCCTTATCTGTTCAACAAGGGGTATTAATTAGATAATCTTGAAGGTCCCGTACAACTCTAACATTCTTTTATTCTATAATTCTAAAAGCCAGTGACTGTTTCCTATTCCCAGGACTTAAACTGCTGCCAAACTGATGCTGATGATGCAGAAAGGAGAAGAGGAGCCAGTAGGAAAAGAGCATTCCAGAGTCTCATATGCTAACTCTTAATACTCTCTCCAAAACAGCTTTCCTCCTTACCTCTCACCCTTGGTTCTTGTCATGCAGTTACAGTAGAGAGTAGGGCCAGACCAGCAAGTATTACAGAATTAAGGGGGTCAGGCAGAAGGGGATCACTGCAGAGCAGCAGATGGAAAAGACAGATTAATTAGAAGACTATGAGACCTAATCCTACATCCTGCGCTCCCTATCCCACCCATCCCCACTCTCACTCCCCTCCCCCTCCATTAACCTGTTCTCTCTCAAGCCCACTTAGATGATCTCTAAGATGTCTTCTAGCTGCAAAGATAATACTCTTTATCCACTAAGACCCTTTAACTAGGGTAGCCTGATCTTTCCCTTCTGAATCTGATTTCTGTTTTGAAAACACCCACATTACTGCCTGATCTCTGCATAACTAACTTCATGCCAACATGGCCCCACCTCTGTGGGAAAGTTCAATCTTTCCCACATCTCTCCCCTACCCCCTAGCCCAGCCTCTTCTCTCTCTTACATTCCGGTTTCCACACCCCTCAAATATAGTACCCCCTTTATTTTCATCTCTTGGAGTTTCTAAGATATCAGCAAACCCTAGGGAGACAGAATGGTCTGGAGCCACTGAGATATGTCAAGTCAGGCAAGTCAGACAGCCAAAGATGGTCAACACTTCCGTGCAAGAAAATCTTAACTATCCAGGCACTCAAGAAATGTCCAAGAGGCAGGCAGAACTCTTCTCCCAGAAACCATCAACTCTAACAGCCATAAGAGAAAAACTGTGGGGCAGCATCCTGACAATCTGGAAGAATTTCCCTGGGGAATATTCTCTCCTGACCTCCCATAATTGCTTGTAATTTATATAGGGCTTTACTGGTAACCAAGTACTTTCCACATCCCTGCCCTTGAGTTTCTGGGTGACAGAAACATTAACTACATCACAGGGGGCTGAAAAACTCTGTTTTCAAGAAGGAAAGATTACCCAAACATTAAAGATTAGCCCAGTGAGACAGTCATCAGCCCAGAAAGAGAGCTGGTCTAAGAGTTAGAAGACAAGCACCCAAATCCCTCATCTAGGGATAAAATATTAGCCTCACAGGATTGGAAGACACTTTAAAATCATATTGTTGCACATCCCAGCCACCACTTGTGTCTTCTACTGTTAACTGTCAGTGTAACCTTGGTTCAGTTAGCCTCCTTTGAGCCTCAGTTGTACCTATATAATTAAGGGATTGGAAGAGCCATTTTCTAAGAATTCTTACATATCTAAAATTATTTTATTCTAGAATTCTAACATTTAGAAATGTATTTCCAAAAGCTAAGTTTCAGCAAGACTGATTTAGAAAGATCCCTTTCTGAGATATATCAAGACTCTTTCAGAGATACTCAGTCACAAAGAACGGCAAACACCAGGGATTTGGGACACTTAAGCCAAGACCAAGCGCAAACACCCTGCATCTCTCATTGTGTCCGGAATTGGTGGGTTCTTGGTCTCGCTGGCTTCATTCCGAGAGCGAGCGAGTGCTGCTAGCACGTTGTCACCTCTCATCATCTTGTTATATCTGGCCTCAGGAATGACAGTTGCTTTGGTCACAGATGCAGGGGTCCTTAGAGGGTTTCTAGATCAGACTCTTCATCCATGAACCTTACTAACTCAAACTTGAGATGGGCAAGATCCTGCAAAAGATCAAGAAAGAAGAAAAAATATTGGAGAAAAGGACTGGGGGTTAAAGGGATAGAATAGGGAGGGTTAAGAAAGAAAACGACTGAGTTGCTTTGTTAGGCTGCCAGATTGGGCAAGAGTCTGGGGTGAAATCATGTTTTCAGAGGGTGAGTTGTTTCCTTGAGTGAGATTGAGGGAGACATTGGTTCCCAAGGCTTGGGAGTTTGCTGGAAGATGCCTTTCAAGGGAGATTGCCTGGGGCCACGAATTCTTGCTGGACAGACAACTATGGGCTCTTGGGTAAGAGGAATTAGGGATGTTAGCCTTTAGGAGAATGATGAGAGTTAGCAATTATCCACTGGACAGATGTCCCTGGGTACATTGTTGATAGGGGGACCCCAGGGCTTAAGGCCGGGGGCCACAAATTGTTGCTGGACAGATAACTATGGGCTCTTGGGTAAGAGGAATTAGAGATGTTAGTGTTTAGGAGAAAGCTGAGAGTTAGTAGTTATCCACTGGCGAGATGTCCCTGGGTACATGGTTGGTGGGGGACCCCAGGGCTTAAGGGGATCCCCAGTTGCCAAAGGATGGAGGGCGGAGCTGGAGGATCTCATCCTAGTGGGCACGCCCTTGTCCAGGCCTGCAGTGGCCGTGCTCGCCAGCTGGCCCATGGCCCTGTCCGACTCCCCTCCCTCCACCCCAAGCCTAAGAGGAGTGAGCGGGGGGTCCCACTGCTGAGCCAGCTCCCTCCCTCTGATCCACACCCGAGCCCGGCTGGCAGAGCTCCCGGGGGAGAGGGTGGAAGGCACCACGAAGGCAAGGAGGGGGTGTTGAAGGTGGGGGGAGTGGGGAATGCGGCAGCCTGCCCCCCCCGCGACCAGCCCAACCCCCCGCCAACCCCCCTCTACCTCCAACCAAATGGTTTGCTCCGAGCGCCCTATTTAATCCCCGCGACTGCAGCAGCGCCGGCTCCCTCCCGGTCCCCACCTCGGCCCCGGGCTCCGAAGCGGCTCGGGGGCGCCCTTTAGGTCAACGTCGTAGTCCACCCCCTCCCCATCCCCAGCCCCCGGGGATTCAGGCTCGCCAGCGCCCAGCCAGGGAGCCGGCCGGGAAGCGCGATGGGGGCCCCAGTCGCCTTGCTCCTGCTCCTGCTGTTCGCCTGCTGCTGGGCGCCCAGTGGGGCCAACCTCTCCCAGGACGGTGAGTGAGGGAGGGGGCGGCGCCTGGGGAGGAGGGGAGTGACCCGAGGCGGGGGCTGGGATCGGGAGTCTGGCGGAGGGAGCCTGTTGGCTTTGTTTGGAACCGGGGTTAAAGTCACCAGCCGCTGCTAATACCCTTGTGTCTGTCTCTGAGCATCCGTGTCTCTGTGGACTGTGGGTGTGCCGGCGTGTGCACCCTTCTGTGTACACCACCGAGCGTGTGTCTGCGTGTGCACCGGGATTTGGCTTTCGGGGCTGATGTCCGTTAGGAGCAGCCCCGGGTCTGGATGTGTTGCTGTCCGTGTGCGCGCGCGTCTGTGTTGGTGTCTGGCTCTGCGTTTCTGTGTCAGTATCTGTGTGTATGTCTGTGTCAGTGTGTGTTGGGGGCGGAGTGAGATTTGTCGCTGTTTCAGTCAGGGCGTGTGTCGGGTGTTTGTGTATGTATGTCTGTAGGGGTTGGGTAGCCAGTGCAATCCCCCAAACTGCTGTATGCAAACATTTCTGCTCCCCCGCCCGTCCCCGCCGCCACCCGCGGCGCAGCTCCGAGTGGGCAGAGAAGGGGGTCTGGGTGAGGCTGCTGAGGGGGGCGTGGGCAAAGAAGGGGGCCCTTATCCTTGGAGCAAAACAACAACACAGGGCGGAGGGGGCCCAGGATGGCAATATCCCTGGCAGTGGTAGAAGCTGGGAAAAGAAATCCAGACAGGAGCAGAGGCGGGGTGGGGGTGGGGGGGGAGCGCAAAAGAAAGAATCAAGATATTTGGGGAGGAGGATGCATGAGACACCCAAAGCTTTCCCGGGCTAAGCACTGATTTTCCCAAATTTGGGGTGGGGTAGCATACCTAGCCCCTTTGCCCCAGTCTGGAACTCAAACCTTCTTCGGTTCCTAATGGTAGAGAGATGAAGGAAGGGAGTCGGGGGAGAAAGGAGGCGGGGCCAGGGGTGAGGGGACTTGGGGAAGAGCCCCTCCCGCCCTGGGCCGGGCTATGTAGGTCAGCGCTGTGGGGGCACCTCAGCTTTCTTAAAGGCTACTAACGGTTAGTGGGATGGCAGAGGGGCAGCGTGTAGGGAAACCCGGAAGGGGGCCACCGCTCCCAGCCTCAGGTCCCTGAGGAGGGAGGGCCGGCTGTGAAGAGACTAAAGGAATGCATCCTCCTCTCCCCGCGCCCTGTTGGAAGAGGAGGAGGGCTGGGATGGAGGAAGGGGGAGAGGGAACAGGACCTCTGTGGAGCAAAGGGAAGTGGGGAGAGTGAAGGGGGAGGGTGGTGGCTATGCCCGGCCAGATGCCAACGAAAAACAGAAAGAACCGCAGGGGAGGAGAAAGGGGAGGTGGCTCCTGGGCGATGGACCCAGTGGCCAGCAGGGATGGGCACAGGGCGGGGCGGGGGTGGAGAGGGGAGGGGTTGAAACTGGGGAGGATGATGTAGAGAATTTCATCTGAGGAAAACAGGCGAAGAGCCAGGGTACTGGAGGAATAATCGCTCTACCTCGCCTGACCTCCCTCAGACCTGTCTCCATCGTGATAAAGGAGCTTCCCTGCTATGGGGACCCTGGGGATCCCCTCCCTATAGTTGGCTGGCTGACTCCTTCCGCCCTCTACCCATCAAACTCCCCAAAGGGAGTTCCCGCCCTAGTCACCACAGAGACAGCAGCCTCTCCTTTCCCCTACGCGGAATCCCCTTCCCCAGAGGACTGCACTGACGACCCCACTCACTGAGGAGCTGAAGGGAGTCTTTGGGGAGAGCAGGCTAAGTGCAAGACAGAGAGGCTGCTGGGTGTTTGTGCCTCACTAATGACCCTCCTACTAGGCCTCGACTTTCAGCTGCAGCCCCTGGCCTTTCTAACCTGCTGAGTTTTATAACGAGAGGCAAATATGATCCAAACTGCAGCCGTTCAGCAATGGGAACTGATGGTGCTAGGCTGGGCCCCAAAAAGAGAGAAAGACGTCATCCAGAAAGCTGTGAGCTCTTCTACTCTAAGATGTAAAAAAACTATAGACTAGAGTAAATCAGTATACTAGCCAAGTCTTTCTTCACTGACTACACTCTTCTTTCTTGGTCCTCAAATTGGGGGCTCAGCCCCTATTCAGGCTTAAAGTTGAGAGGAAGAGAAATGTTATATCCTCATATTTAGAAATATGTTTCAGAGCAGTGGCCTGAGAGAAACAGTGGAAAACAGTAACTTCTAAATGGGGAATTTCCAGAGGAGAGGTGGGGAAGTGGGAGATGAACAGGAGGGGTCTGTTTCCAAAGAAGAGTCAAACCAAGCATCATTTTCCTTGGAGAGCATTATCTTCACAGATAATGGACATCTGTCTGGTGTGCAGTATCTCAGGACACACTGATGCATGAGACATAACCACTATATCTTCTATCTTAAATTAATTCTATCTTTTAGTTTCTGGATCTAAGAAGGCCAGTGCTGATGGTGGGAGGTAAATGCGTAGATTTAATGCTCACGGATAGTAATCCTGAAGACTATTTTGCACAGGATCATGGACATGTGTCTAGTACCCCTGAGTTGGCCTGGGGCCCCTGGGAAGAAAACTAGGCAATATGTACTTAACTGGTAATGCTTGACCAAAACTATGAGAGATATGGTGTGAAGGTTTAAGGACAAGATACTCTTATGCTGATGCTTGAATTGTCAAGGGTGTTGTGGTAGCATATCTTTTCCCATTTAGAATAAGGAAACAAACTTAATGTGCTGCTGGGGCATATCGTCCCCTGGGGCACAGCATAAATTTCTTAAGCTTCATAAGGCTGAACAGGGATTGAGAGGGCAAGCAACTGATATCTAAGACTGGCCATGAGAGTTGTGCCAACAGCTCAGGAATAGGTAAGACATTTAGAATGTCCCATCTGCCCTTCCTTCTCACATTTCTCCACTAGTTTTCACTGTGGTTGACAATTCTAGCTTTGGAGGACTCAAGTCTATGAACTTAATGTGTCCTCTCTCTGGTGAACAGCTCAGTATTCAACACTGTGACCAGCTTTCTTGGGCTCTTCCTTCTCAAGTTATTTCCAGCACTCTGTGAATTGACCTAGGGTAAAGACAGATAGACGGATAGCCTCTCTTTGTTTCAGATAAGTTTATAGCAATTTAACCTTGTACTGCGCTGCCCCACACATGAACATCTATTTCTTCTCAATGACCTCTGTCCACTATCATTCATTCTACAGCCCCCTGGCCAGATGCCCAGTGAGGACATCATGCCCAACGTGCCAGAGAAGTCCAGCAGGCATTCGCTCTAGTGCTGTCCACAGATCTGTTTGGCAGATCGACTCCATCCAGTCTCTGTTCCTAGTTGCAGCTGTAACTGTTCTGTTTCTGTTCCTGTTCTCCTCCTAGTTGCAGCTGTAACTCTTGGGAAGGATATGCTCTCCTTTTAGACATGTGCATCTTCTAGCACGGAAAAGTTAAGACCATCACAGAGACACTCATATAGCAGAGTTTAGTTAACTCCATGAAAATCAGTGTGTTTCATGTAGGTCCTAACCTATGTAATGTCAACTGCCTACCCAGCAGTTATGCCACTCTATTCTAAGCTTCTCCATAGATCTGGATAGCACTGCTGGTTTTAATAGTTTCCTCTAGGGCAGGAGTTTTCCCATTTTGTTTTTAAAACAAAGATGTGAGACATTTTTAACAAATGAGAAAAACATATCAAAGGAGAACTGCTGTTGTTGAAATAGTGAAGTAAGACCTATATCCCTTTTCCCTGTCTTACTGGCTTTTACACATTCCTATAATCCTTAAGGAACTACCTGGGGTTCTGCCACACAGTTCAAAATCCTCTGTCCTAGACTGACAGAATGAGCCAGCTTACTACCCTTAGGCTCTTTCTCCTTCCTCTTCCAACTGAAGAAGAAAGGAGGTCCAAATCTAATTGCAAGAGTACCTTGTTGGAGATATTCACTACTCACTTGGAGAGAGTGACTCATAGTTCTGCAGCCATAAATTTCCACAGACAGCATCTCTTTGGCGTTCTGGTTACTTTGAAATAATTGAGAGGTTGTGCCATTGCTCTGTAAATTCTTAGATTTGGTTTTGGTACTTCTTGATGTTACTACTTTCTTGCAGTCCAAATAATATGTAAAATGGGATCAAAAGTTTATTTTCCTTAAATCACATGGTAGGAAAAAAATCTTCACAAATATCACCAGAGAAAGAAAACCCCTGGGGCTGTGACTAGTCTTATTCTTTCTTATTTCCTACTCCAGTGGAACTGCATACTGGCTCAACAATCCCTTTTTTGTCATCTAATTCTCTGTAATAGAGTTTTACCTAAGGATGGTGATCTAGGTTCCAGATTCTTGTTGAAAGCAAGCTGTGGACTGGACCAGTTCCTTACTGACTACTGAGTGAAAAATTCAAAGTTATTATAAAGTTTTCGTAATTATATCTTCTTTTATTTTTCATGTTAGAATGTAATGTTTCGTGTTTAACACTGACCATAGGCCCATGTACTAGAATATTTTGTTTCCTGTATGAGGTCGTGTTTTAGAGGTCCACCCTTAATCTCTGAGAATAGCAATCCCCGTGGAAATGCTTACAAAAGACAGAGGGAAACAAACTATCAGAAAAGGACCCTGGAGAAGCAAGCCATCAGAAAAAGATTCTGTTTCTAAGAACTTGCTCAGATTAAGTATAAACACTCCATGTCATCATAAAATGAAGAAGAATAAGTTTCCAGGGCTAGAGACCTGTTTCTGCTTCTAGGATCAGCAGCAGTGATCATTTTTTACAAGGTCAGAACCAGCTGGTGCCCGGGGCTCCAATAACTACCCAAGTAGAAACCCAGTCCAATTCTGTTATATATGACAAGGAGATCCATCCCTTCTAGTACAGAGAAGTCAAGCTCTCAGGAGGCTTGAACACATGAATCTGTTGGGATTTTTACACAACAGAAGCTAAGATGCTAATAAGTAAAGGTACATACTCTTCACTGAAGCAGCAAATACTAAAAAATCATTTCTCTCTTTACCAATATTTTCCTAACCC